GTTTTTTGCCATGAATAAACCCATGTTATTCCTTACATATTGTTTGACCACTTTCACTTTACAAGGGCGGCAGAGTTCTGTTGGGACAGAGACCACATGGCTTGCAAAGCCTGAAATATTTCCTACCAGGCCCTTTACAGAAAACATCTGGTAACCCCTGCCTTAGAGCAACATGTGGGCATTTACAGACCAAGCCATTCACTGAATATATATCTCCTTTTTTTGAATTTTTAAAAATTTATTTTTATTTTAAAAATATTTTTATTGATACCTAATATTTGTACATATTTATGGGGTACATGTGATATTTTGATACAAGCATATAATGTGTTAATTATTAAATCAGAGTAATTAGGATATCTAGCACCTCAAATATTTATCATTTTTTTGTGTTGGGAACATTCCTCATCTCCTTTTCTAGCTATTTTGAAATATACAATAAGTTATTATTAACTATAGTTACCTAATGATCTGTCAAACACTGGAACTTATTCTTTCTATCTGTATATTTGTAACCATTAACCAACCTTTCTTCATTGTCCTTTCCTTCCTTCCTTTCAGACTCTGATAACCATTATTCTACCCTCTACCTCCATGAGATCAACTTTTTTAGCTTCCACATATGAGTGAGAACACGAAGTATTTGTCTTTCTGTGCTGGTTTTATTTCATTAAACATAATTCCCTCTAGATCCATCCATGTTGCTGCAAATAACAGATTTCATTCTCTTATGGCTAAAAGTATTCCATTGTGTATATACACACTTTTTCTTCTCCATTCATTTGTTAATGGACACTAGACGATTTTGTATCTTGGTTATTGTGAATAGTGCTACAGTAAACATGGGAGTGCAGATATCTTTTTGACATACTTACTCCCTTTCCTTTGAATATATACATAATAGTGGGATTGCTGGATCATATGGTAGTTCTATTTTTTAGTTTTTTGAAGAACTTCCATAATGTTTTCCATAATGGCCATGCTAATTTATATTCCCACCAACAGTGTGTAAGAGTTCCCCTTTCTCCACATCCTTACCAGCATTTGTTGTTCAGCATTGTTTTTTTTTTCAATAAAATAAAGGATTTGCCGAGGAAATAATGTAAAGTTACTTTTATTTTCTTGTTGCAGGCATTTTAAAGAGAAGTTTTAGCGCTTCAGGAGGAGAAAGACAATCCCAAACAAGGTTGTGCAAATTGAGCTCCTAGAAATACTAGACTTTACAGAGCTCAGTTATTGGCGGTTAAATTGAAACCTGATAGACAGAAGTTACCATGAGCCCATGGAAACAGAGGCTGTTAGAGCTCACCCTCCCAGAACCATTTATAGTTTACCAAATAGCATACTGTAAAGAGTACTAAGCTTGGACCTGAGTCTTAGCCTAGCTCTGTCTTTTTCTAGCTTTGTGACCTCGAGCCAAATGGTTAGCCTCTCTGAGCTCATGAGCAGGCCAGCAGGTAGGGCCCTGGTGTTCCACAAGGTCATCTGGCCTTGGTCCTTATGTCTTCTTCATCCACATCCCCAGGGTGAAGGTCTCATCCCCATGGCAAATGTGGCCAGTGTGGCTCACCAGACCACATCCTACATCCCAGCCAGCAACAAGAGGAAAGGGAACGTGGAGACACACCCCTTCCTTTAAAGACATGTCCCAAATGTTGTGCTCATCACTTCTGCTCACGTACCATTGGCCAGAACTTCCTCATGTGACCACATCTAGCTACAAGGGAGCATGGAATATGTTTGGGGGATTCTCTTTTAAAAGAAAGGCAAAGATTTTAATTTGGAGACAGCAGTGTCAATGACAGTTGTCACTTGTAGTGAGGACTGAAACAAAACTGTTAGATTCAGCCTTTTGCAAGCAACCTGGTGACTTTCGTGAGAGTCATTTCCCTGGAATTGGGTGGGATTGGAGGGAGCCGAAATCTGACTGTAATGGTCTTAGATGTTCTGGAAGCAGAGATGGGGGCAATTGAAGAACGTGAGGAGTGAGCTGGGAGAGTTAGCTGGCGGGGCAGGATTGATGGTAAAGGACCTCCTAAAATAAGGATGACTTCAAAGCATTTGTAACTGAGAAGAGGAAGCCAATTGAGAAGAGAGATTTGGAAGAAGAGATAATTGATAGTATCTAGTTGCAGAGTAGCCTGGAGCCAGAGGAGTGAGCCTCTGGAAAAGAGGACAGGGCAACCCTTTCTTTGTGTCTGGAAAAAGTAAGGTGAAGATTAAATTAAGCTAGAGAAGTAGGGTATTAAGGAAGATTATATGTGGTGGTTTCTGTGCATTAGATAGTGCTCTAGGCCACTGCTGATGGAACCATCTAGATTTGAGGAGTGTAGTCAGCTAGGAACAACCAATTTAGAGATGGGAAGGGGACTGAACAGAGAGAGGCATAAAGACTGCCAGACAGCTCTGAGGTGAGGACAGCAGTTGAGGCTGGGGCCACCATAGGTGGTGATGCCAGTCAGGGGGCTTGAGAGCTGTGTGGTGGCCCCGGCTAGGGGAATAGCAGCATGTATGTGACAAAAGGCTAAGCCTGTGATGTGCTGTACCATTAACAGCTTTGTGTATATAAGCAAAAGAGCCTGACTCTAGTTCACTTACACAACAGGAGGCTTTGGAGACTCGCACAATTAGGAATCTGGAGGATCAAGTTTAGGCATTCCTGGTAGACTCGGAAGGGCACAGATGCTGGGATGAATGAGCTCTCAGCTTATTTATTCCATCCTTGTGTCAGCTTTCTTAGGATTCAGGGTCCTGGGAGAGAGGGTCAGAATGTCTTGCCTTGGATCAGGCACATGTTTACTGCTCTGGCAAGAGCTGAGATCTTTGACTGACAGTTCTTTAGGTCTAGCAGGGGACTTTTGCTGAAGGGAGCAGGTGTGGGTGGTGGGCAGCATAAATGGAACCATGGTCACTGTGTGGGTTTGAGGGTGCTGGAAATTGCATAATGGACATGAATTTTACAATGAAGAACCCGCTCTGCAAATCCCTAGGAAGTTCAGTTAGATGGCAAGGCAGGGTTCATATAGATAAATCATTTTTTGTTTAGTCAAAGATATATCACTGATAACTTTATCTTCTCCAAGTGAGGGCCAGGAAGGGTTAAGGTGGAGCCTTTTGACTTCCTAATTCTTTTCCACACGTATACAGTAGTTTCATTTAGGCTGCCCAGCACCCACACCTGCACCCTGCAGCAAGGGTCTCCTTATGGACCTGAAGGACTGTCAGTCAAGGATCTCAGCTCCTCCCAGAGCAGTAAACAGGGACCTGATCCAAGCCAGACAATTTGACTCTCTCTCCCAAGACTCTGAATCCTAAGACAGGTGACATAAGAATGGAATAAACAGAAGCTCTGACTCAGTGTGGGAAGGAGGGAGAAGGCAACACATGTAACCTAAACATTTGTACCCCTATAATATGCTGAAATAAAATAAAAAGAATGGAATAAAAATGCTGGTAACAAAAACTCAAGGAAAACCTATCTGGGCAAATGATCTACCAGAAAGGTCTTTGAGTAAAACCTGTAAGACCTCATGGTGTTCTTTAGTAGGCCAAAGTTCAGAGAAACTATGGGCCGAAGTAACAAGGAGGGCAGGGGGAAAAGAAACACTCCAAAACTCTTAAGGAGAATCAAAATAGGTGACTTTTGGAAATGGGGACCTGAGTTAGAAGATCATCCAGGGTATTTCCAGGACTTCATTGTCCCCAACATTCCCCACCTTCTGCTCTCCATTGTAGCCCACTACTGTGTTTCCCTGAAAATAAGACAGGGTCTTATATTTATTTTTCCTCAAGAAGACACCCTAGGGCAGGGGTCCTCAAACTTTTTAAGCAGGGGGCCAGTTAACTGTCCGTCAGACCATTGGAGGGCCGTTGTAGAGTGCGGCGCACATTCCACACATACGCACTGTGGGCCCAGGACCAGTTGGCTGCTAAGCAGGACAGGCAGCAGTGGCAAAAACACCTGCCCGGCAGGCCCCATGTGGCCTATGGGCTGTAGTTTGAGGACCCCTGCCCTAGGGCTTATTTTCAGGGGATGTGTTATCTTTTTTTAAGTACAGTATAACAATCTACATTTATTCAAATATAGTTAAGTCGTCTTCTTTTGGAGCATCATCATAACTCTCCAAAGCACGAATTCTATCCTGAATTTCTTGTGAATTCCTTTAGAACCATTGGCCCTAATCTCTCATGTTGAGCAATAGAGCTCTCATGGGGCAGATGAGAAGGGCTGCTCGTCTTTGCACTAGTTCATTATTTCTACCGGCAAATGCAGGTTCTAACTGGGGAGTTGAGATAACTAATTTGAAGACAGCTAACTAACCATAGGACAAATGCAAGTGACCTTTTATGGGTCTGTTGGTCAGAGGGATTAGAAGCCTGTAGAAGAAATTAGTCTTGGTGTGGACTAATTTTTGTACAATTTTATTTACATTAATGTAAAGGGTGTATTAAAATGCTAAATAAAAGAAAAATTTGATATTTAGAACTATAAAAAATGATATATAAATTCAGTCCATGATGTTACTCTTGACTCTTATTCAAAACAAGAAAATGGTCATACTGGGGAGGGGAAGAAAAAAGTAAAAGATAAAATTTAAAGACTGTGATGAAGATAGAATCAAATGCACTCAACATCTGAAACTGAAAAAAAGAGTATTAAATAGGAAATGGAGAGAAAAGAATATTCTTTTAAAGAGTAAGTGGTTAAATATTAAAAAACTATGATAGAAATACTCTGAAATAAATTAAGTGTAATAATTCTTTCTTCCTAGTGACTAAACTATGAAAATCTCATAAAAGAAAGTTTAAATTAGTCTAAGAATCAAAGTAGAATGTTAAAGATTTAGCTATGTTCTTTGCCCTTTCCAACTTAATTGATCCATCAAAATAGTGACTAGATAGTCCAGATTTTTTGGACAATCCCAGTTTCCAACACTCTGTCCTATTTTTCTTGTAAATTCCTGCTTGTTAGGATAAATGTCTTGATTTGAGATTGGAAATATGAATATAAACAGGAAAAAGTATCGTGTATATAAACATGCACAGCAAATTCTAGAAGAAGTTCATTACTATTTTGAGATGAGTTCAGTGTTGTACATTCCTGGTGACAAGGTGGGAGGTCAGAGGGAGGTGGAAAGGAGAAATTGCATGTGGTAATTTATAGCTGCCTTAGGAAGATTATGACATAGATATTTTATTGTGCTTTGTTAGATATTAATAATGGAATTTTTTTGTTTGTTTGCAATTTTCTTTGAGAAAGAAGCCTTAAATAACCTGTCAAAGTAATAGTAATATGTAACATTGTTTTTAGCTGTTGCTTTCATAAACAAGGTTAACTTTGCACTATGTACAGTTGCTGAGGTGACAGAAATTCAGCATTATTTTTGTTTGTTTTTGCCATGAATAAACCCATGTTTATTCCTTACATATTGTTTGACCACTTTCACTTTACAAGGGCGGCAGAGTTCTGTTGGGACAGAGACCACATGGCTTGCAAAGCCTGAAATATTTCCTACCAGGCCCTTTACAGAAAACATAACCCCTGCCTTAGAGCAACACGTGGGCATTTACAGACCAAGCCATTCACTGAATATTATCTCTCTTTTTTGAATTTTTAAATTATTTATTATTAAAATATTTTTATTGATACATAATATTTGTACATACTTATGGGGTAATGGATATTTTGATACAAGCATATAATTGTAATTATAAATCAGAGTATAGATATCTAGCACCTCAAATATTTATCATTTTTTTGTGTTGGGAACATTCCTCATCTCCTTTTCTAGCTATTTTGAAATATACAATAAGTTATTATTAACTATAGTTACCTAATGATCTGTCAAACACTGGAACTTATTCTTTCTATCTGTATATTTGTAACCATTAACCAACTTTTTCATTGTCCTTTCCTCCTTCCTTTCAGACTCTGATAACCATTATTCTACCCTCTACCTCCATGAGATCAACTTTTTAGCTTCCACATATGAGTGAACACTGAAGTATTTTGTCTTTCTGTGCTGGTTTTATTTCATTAAACATAATTCCCTCTAGATCCATCCATGTTGCTGCAAATAACAGATTTCATTCTTATTATGGCTAAAAAGTATTCCATTGTGTATATACACATTTTTCTGTCTCCATTCATTTGTTAATGGACACTTAGACGATTTTGTATCTTGGTATTGTGATAGTGCTACAGTAAACATGGGAGTGCAGATATCTTTTTGACATACTTACTCCCTTTCCTTTGAATATATACATAATAGTGGATTGCTGGATCATATGGTATTCTATTTTTTAGTTTTTTGAGAACTTCCATAATGTTTTCCATAATGGCCATGCTAATTTATATTCCCACCAACAGTGTGTAAGAGTTCCCCTTTCTCCACATCCTTACCAGCATTTGTTGTTCAGCATTGCTTTTTTTTTTTCAATAAAATAAAGGATTTGCCGAGGAAATAATGTAAAGTTACTTTTATTTCTTGTTGCAGGCATTTTAAAGAGAAGTTTTAGCGCTTCAGGAGGAGAAAGACAATCCAAACAAAGGTAGTGCAAATTGAGCTCCTAGAAATACTAGACTTTACAGAGCCTGAGTTATTGGCGGTTAAATTGAACCTGATAGACAGAAGTTACCATGGCCCATGGAAACAGAGGCTGTTAGAGCTCACCTCCCAGAACCATTTATACTTTACCAAATAGCATACTGTAAAGAGTACTAAGCTTGGACCTGAGTCTTAGCCTAGCTCTGTCTTTTTCTAGCTTTGTGACCTCGAGCCAAATGGTTAGCCTCTCTGAGCTCATGAGCAGGCCAGCAGGTAGGGCCCTGGTGTTCCACAAGGTCATCTGGGGCCTTGGTCCTTATGTCTTCTTCATCCACATCCCCAGGGTGTAGGTCTCATCCCCATGGCAAAGTGGCCAGTGTGGCTCACCAGACCACATCCTACATCCAGCCAGCAACAAGAGGAAAGGGAACGTGGAGACACACCCTTCCTTTAAAGACATGTCCCAAATGTTGTGCTCATCACTTCTGCTCACGTACCATTGGCCAGAACTTCCTCATGTGACCACATCTAGTACAAGGAGCATGAATTTTGTGGATTCCTTTGCAGTTCCAATAATACCATTTAGAGAGATGTGGAATCATACATCCAAATGGATGACTTTGTGGTGCTATTATAATAGAAATGCTTCTATCAGTTTTAGAGGATTCCGAGGAGCCCATGGCTAGTTTTTTAGAGTGTTCAAACCAGGCAACAGTGTGGAGTCCTGATGGTTCGTAAGTCCTCTTCGCTGCAGCTCTTCATCTTGTAGAGGACGTCACCTCTCACTCTCCATCTCCTGGCTTTGTCTGCTACTAATTTCCCTTGAGTTTTGAAGAAAATAAGCCTTATTTATCTACTATACTGCTGACAGGCTTTGATACCAGATATTTTAGAAAAAAAATTAAATTTCTAAAATTTGTGCTAAATTGATACATACTCTATTTCATAGAATTACATCCCCTTTCCCCCACTGGATTTCTAGGCCTTTGCTACTGAGCACTGTTGTCACCTCCATTCTTCTTTGTCCAATGCTATCTTGTAGGCCTACTTTTTTTTGTATTTATGAACTGAATAAGTTCCATATCAGGTATATAGTTGGAACTACTGATGCGCTTCTGCATAAAATATTTATAACGGTATTTTAGACATTTTAACATAAGTTTTGACAGGCTTTGGGTCCTACAGAAGGAAAGAGAGAGAGACTATTAAAAATTAAATCCTCTTTCCAGGAAACCTTTGAGAAGGCAAGCTTGAGTAGCAGCAGCAGTGGAGCAGCCAGCCTGAAAAGTGAACTTTCAGAAAGTGCAGACCTGCCCCCTGAAGGCTTCCAGGCTCCCAGTGGTAAGGATGAAGACAGGGCCTGTGATGAAATCCTGTCAGATGATAACTTCAACCTGGAAAACATTGAGAAAGGTACTTCTAGTGAAAGGGTGTCAGCATGAATGCACTCTTGACTCCTTTCTGTTTCAAGGTTCATTTGCTTTTTATTGTTTCTGTTAATGTGCAGATATATATTCAGAGCTAGATGATGAATTGGACATTTCGGATAACTCCAGCAGCTCCAGTTCAAGCCCTCTGAAAGAATCTACCTTCAGTAAGCTTTATTTATAAGTTTGCTATTTGTGGGATTCTGACAGGTAGTGGTTTGGGAATCATACCTGAGTCAAGCAAGTATCGCCATATATATAACCCAGTTGTTTTTTTTCCAGGTGTAATGCTAATTAAGACAGGTGTGTCTATCTCTATGACAGAGCCCAAAGGCCAGACCGCACAGTGGGTTTGCATTTCCTTAGCTATCAAATGGTGCTAGATACTCTAAACTCTGATTTAATAATTACATTATATAGCTTGTATCAAATATCACATGTACCCATAATATGTACAAATATTATGTATCATAAAATATTTATAATAAAAATAAATTAAAAATTCAAAAAAGGAGATATATATTCAGTGAATGGTTGGTCTGTAAATGCCCACTGTTGCTCTAAGGCAGGGGTTACGTGTTTTCTGTAAAGGGCCTGGTAGGAAATATTTCAGGCTTTGCAAGCCATGTGGTCTCTGTCCCAACAGAACTCTGCCGCCCTTGTAAAGTGAAAGTGGTCAAACAATATGTAAGGAATAAACATGGGTTTATTCATGGCAAAAACACAAAATAATGCTGAATTTCTGTCACCTCAGCAACTGTACATAGTGCAAAGTTAACCTTGTTTATGAAACAACAGCTAAAGATATGTTACATATTTACTATTACTTTGACAGGTTATTTAAGGGCTTCTTTCTCAAAGAAAATGTGCCAAAACAAAAAAATTCCATTATTAATATCTAACAAGCACAATAAAATATCTATGTCATAATCTTCCTAAGGCAGCTATAAATTACCACATGCAATTTCTCCTTTCCACCTCCCTCTGACCTCCCACCATTGTCACCAGGAATGTACAACACTGAACTCATCTCAAAATAGTAATGAACTTCTTCTAGAATTTGCTGTGCATGTTTATATACACGGATACTTTTTCCTGTTTTATATTCATATTTCCCAATCTCAAATCAAGACATTTTATCTAACAAGCAGGAATTTACAAGAAAATAAGGACAGAGTGTTGGAAACTGGGATTGTCCAAAAAATCTGGACTATCTAGTCACTATTTTGATGGATCAATTAAGTTGGAAAGGGCAAAGAACATAGCTAAATCTTTAAACATTCTACTTTGATTCTTAGACTATTTTAAACTTTCTTTTATGAGATTTTCATAGTTAGTCACTGAGAAGAAAGAATTATTACACTTAATTTATTTCAGAGTATTTCTATCTATAGTTTTTAATATTTAATCACTTACTCTTTTTAAAAGAATATTCTTTTCTCTCCATTTCCTATTTTAACTACTCTTTTTTTCAGTTTCAGATGTGAGTGCATTTGATTCTATCTTTCATCACAGTCTTTAAATTTTATCTTTTATGTTTTTTTCTTCCCCTACCCAGTATGACCATTTTCTTTACTGTTTTGAATAAGAGTCAAGAGTAACATCATGGACTGAATTTATATATCATTTTTTATAGTTCTAAATATCAAATTCTTTTATTTTTAGCATTTTAATACATCCTTTACATTAATGTAAATAAAATTGTACAAAAATTAGTCACACAAAGACTAATTTCTTCTACAGGCTTCTAATCCCTCTGACCAACAGACCATAAAAGGTCACTTGCATTGTCCTATGGTTAGTTAGCTGTCTTCAAATTAGTATACTCAACTCCCCAGTTAGAACCTGCATTTGCGGTAGAAATAATGAAACTAATGCATGGCTAGA